ATTATGTGGTATGTATGTAAATACCCCATTAAAAAATTGCATATCACCTCAATTGGCAAGTCAATATTGTGGTACATTGTCATCAAAATTTGTGCAAAGCATGAAATAACAAGCATATACCTAATTTGCAATTACCCAACTGCGTGGGAGCTTACCGCCAGTGTTGTTGTAGTAGCTACAATACTGCAACGTGCTATTGTAGTTGTTACAGTAACTGCAATCTCCCTTTTCTGATGATTTCCCATTTTAATTTCTTTTTTTCTCAACTTCTTTCATGTTCCTCTTCTTGTCTATTATATCACTTTCTCATCCCACGCTTTACATATTTTATCTAATAATCCCCTCTTTATATGGGTTTTGTTTTCTGAGGTTAGAGGAGAAGATTTTTGGATGATTGTTGATTTCAGCTATTGCCTTTAAGTGTTCTTTCCGTCCGGGGGTTGTATCTGACAGCAAGAAGGTGCATCGGTTGTAACATATCCGACATAGTGACTGTCTCAAGAGTCCGGGTGGTGCTCCGGCTATAGCTCAATCCTAACGAGATATTCATCTTTTTACAACCCCCTTCGGCTCACCTTCAGCAGGCCACTAGCCCTTCTCCACACCTCTCAGGCTATCAGCTTGTTGTTCCCCTCCAACTTACCTTCAGCATCCCGATAGTCGATCCCTATGCGTTCCAACAGTTGTTTACTTGTTGCTCCCTCTTCCCTACAGTCAAACCTATTGTTCCTTCCCCTATTTCCCTACCATCATACCTAGTTCTCTCTCCTTGTTGTTGCCAACATCCCCACATCCTATCATCACCATTATTGAAGTTTTCGTGTATGTTTTTATTCTTGTGTTGTTGTTTGTTGTCGTTATTTCATGTCGCAAGAGTCTCATTTGTATCCTTTTGAATTTAGTAATAATTGTTGTTTTTTCGTGGTGGTTTGGGTCTTTTCCTCCGACATCATTTGGTGTCAGAGCTAGATCAATTATAGTCTTATCCTATGGTTCCCTAGCATCCGTCCCCACCTAAACCATCTCCTACCAAATTTTTTTGCCCTAAAAGCATCGACGGATGAAGTCGAAACTCCCCAACCCTGGGAGATTGACACTAGAGCTTACCATCTGCGGCACTGTAGAAGCTACAACATCGCTAAGACATTATTGTAGCTGCTACATTAACTGCAATCCCCCATTCCTATTTAGTTCCTTTCATTTCCTTTCCTGATGATTTCTCATTATAATTCATTTCCTTCTCTACTTCTTTCTTATTCCTCTCCTTGCCTATTAAATTTATTTCCTATTCTACTCTTTACCTATTTTATTTACTAATGCCCTCTTTATATAGGTGTTATTTTATGAGGTCAGAGGAGGAGGTTTTTGGATGATTGCTTATTTCAGCAACTGCCTTTGAGGTGTTTTTCCCCTCCGAGGGTTGTATCTGACTACGAGAATGTGCTATGGTTGTAACTCGTCTGACGTGGTGACTGTCTCCAAGGGTCCAGGTAGTGTTCCGATTGTAGCTCAACTCTGATGAGACATTTATCTTTCTGCAGTCCCCTCTCCCACATAGTCCAACAATCGCCTTCTTGCTGCCCTTCCTCAATTCATCTTCAGCAGACCGCTAGCCCTTCTCCACACCATCTCGCAGGCTGCCAGCCTGTTGTTCCCTTCTCGCTCACCTCCAACATCCCGCTAGTCGACCCCTATGCCTTTCATCAGTCGTCTACTTGTTGTTCCCCCTTTCCTATAGTCAAACCTGTTGTCCCTTCTCCTGTTTTCCTACCACCGGCCCTAGTTCCCTCTCTCTGTTGTCGCCAACATTCCCACCTGCTACTGTCAGCCTTCTTGGAGTATATGTATTGTTTCTTTATGCTTGTGTTGTTGTTCGCAGTTATGATTTCAAGTCGCAAGAGCCTCGTTTGTACTCTTTTAAATTCACTGATAATAATTGTGTTTT